CTTCTAGAACAGAGGTTCTCTCTCCTAACCCAGCCTCAACAGACAGGAAGATGGTGTTCAGTTTTACTTTCTATAGTTCTTGAGAGGCACAATACACCTTTTTCCACTATGCAGATAAAAGTTGCATGATGATATGGAATATGCTTTTGAAAACTATAAGCACCCTTCATATTTGATGGTCCAGATGTCCAGATTTGGCATCTGAAGTAGCCCTGGCTTGCACTGCTGATCTTTTTCCTCTTACTTGGTCTGGATTTCTTAAAAAGGACCATGGCCACAAGCTAGTTAAGAATCACTAGATCCTGCCCTGGCTGATATGGTGCAGTGTGCTGCGCACCATGTTGTGAACTGAAAGGTCACCAGTTCGATTCCTGGTCAGGGCACATGCCTGGATTGAGAGCTGGGTCCCTGGTTGGGGGTGTGCAAGAGGCAGTCTATGGATGTTTCTCTCCCTCTCTTTGTCCCTCCCTTCCCCTTTCTCTAAAAAATGAACAACCTCTTTTAAAGAAACAAAAGAACCACTGGCTCTCAGGCCATGTGCAAGTGTGCAATGATTACTCAGAGATTTTGAACAGTTTTCCAGGCCCTACCATAGACCTCTAAAGAGGAAAAAAGAAACTTTGTTAAATACTTTGCCCATACTTTGATGCACGACCGTCTCCTGTCTTCTCATTGGTTGAGGCTGACCTTCTGTGCAGGACTTGGAGCAATGCACTCCTGCTGCGGCCAGGGCCATCTCACTGTTGGTGCCTGCAGAGCTGTTAGGTAGTGGTTCAATTCTGCTGCATGCCACACTTTGGCATGGAGTGGACATCCAGCCCTTTGCAGAGTGGGGAATAAGCTTTTCTCCCTTTGAAGAGCTGAGAAGCGCACCCAGGCTCTTTCATGTTCTGCAGTACACTGAGATCCGCATCTGGGCTCAGAAGTAGACCTCACTGTGAGTGGCATTGCTCTTTGTCCCTCGTCACTTACCCTGTGTTTATGAAGTCTGCTTTCCCCCACTGGGAGAAGGAACATGTGAGCTGCCTGGTTCTGCTTTCCTTTGAGCTCTTCTCTCTCAGTTTGTCATCATTGCACCATCAGCCAGGAGCAGCTGACCAGGGACTGCTTCTTGCTGTGAGCAGAACTGAAACAAACCTTTCTGGGGTGTATTTTGTAAGTTTCTGTCGTTGGCTTTGGTTGTCCTAACTTATTCTTCTCAAGTGGGGCCTCTCACTTTTTTTTTTGTCAGGTGTTTTCTTCTAACATTTGAAATCCTAAATTTCAAGTCTGAGTTTACATTGAAAATTTTTTTTAACATTCCTTCCCCAGTTCTTTATTTTCAGGATCATCCTCAGTTGCAGAGGTGCAATTTTGCTTGAGGGTTTGCCAGTCCTCTTGAGTCATGGTGCCCTTTTCCAGTTTCATACCTTCAGATGAACCTGTGGTTTCTCTGAATGACTTGAATCCATCTTTTCTAAGTTGGTAGAGGTGTGATTGGCAGTTTGGGTTGAACAGTTCTAGTGTGTAGAACCATTTGTGCAATACAGGACTTTTAGTGTCCTGGTTCCTGACATTGCCAATGGTTCTCAGCAGCTGGGCTCTTGGGGACATTGGGAAATCGGGGTGGGGTGGTATCATAATGCCTGGCATCTAGTGGGCGGGGCTGGGGATGCCCAGGTGGAGTCCTGCTGGCTGCTGGCACCACCCCATTGAGAAACACTCTCTTAGGGGGCTGCCCAGCGTTCCCTGGAGATTATGGGCTTGCTTGCTTGTTTGTTTTTCTTGATTTCTTTCACTTCTGTCTTATAATCAGTTCTTACTTGATGGTTAGAGTGAATTATGCAAAGGAGGCTGCCTCATCCTTCTTTGATGAGCTTAACCTGACAGTAAGGTAAGCTGACAGTTTCTCTGGTAGCTGTACTTCTGAGACTCCCAGCCCTGCTACCATTAGTTCCTCCCTTTCTTTGGGTGGGTGGGGGGTGGGGTGAGGGGTGAGGGGGGTGGCCTCCTCTCACTGTATGGCTTTTCTCTTTGTTCATGTATCTCTTACTATCAAAGCACCAATAAATGCCCTTCCTGCACCCCTGCACACAGTGCCCACTTGTTCCTCCCTCTGTCTTGAGTACAATTTAGTTTTTCACAGCTGTATTACATGTGACCCCCATCTTGCCATGGTTGTTTTTTTTTTTTTTTTAAGATTTTATTTATTTATTTTTAGAGAGGGGAGGGAGCGGGGGAGAGGGAGAGAGAGAGAGAGAGAGAGAGAGAGAGAGAGAGAGAGAGAGAGAGAGAGAGAGAAAGAAACATCAATGTGTGGTTGTTGGGGGCCGTGGCCTGCAACCTAGGAATGTGCCCTGACTGGGAATCAAACCTGCGATGCTTTGGTTCGCAGCCTGTGCTTAATCCACTGAGCTACGCCAGCCAGGGCTTGCCATGGTTTTGTAATTCTTTTGAAATATACCTTCTTGTGTTTATTACCCATACTTCATGTTGTTAGTATATTGATTTCTGAAGCCATAAAATATAGTTTCATATTATCTTAAAATGTATTTTCTCCCATGATTATCGAATATATTCTGTAGTCTTTTTTTTGATTGTCTAATTTTAAAGTTCTGTCTGGAATTTTTTCCTTGTCTGTATTTTTGATAACTTGGTAAGACTTGACTCTTAAGGGACATGCTATCTTGTGTCTCTTGCCAGGAATCTTTTTTTAAAAAAATTTTTATGCCCTGGTTGGCGTAGCTCAGTCGATTGAGTGTGGGCTGCAAACCAAAGTGTCGCAGGTTCGATTCCTAGTCAGGGTACATGCCTGGGTTGCAGGTCATGACCCTCAGCAACCGCACATTGACGTTTCTCTCACTCTCTCTTTGTCCTTCCCTTCCCTCTCTAAAAATAAATAAATAAAATCTTTAAAAAAAATTTTTTTAAATTATTTTTGGGGGAATGTTTTTGCCATAATTTATTTATTTATTTATTTATTTTTCTTCTTCTTCTCTAGCCGGGAATCTTAACTCTAGTATTTTGATTCAAGGACCAGAAAATTAAAATACATAGAGATCCCTTCCTATCCCAGAGCTCTTTTCCTTCCCCAAGCCCAGGTGTCCCATCTACTTATTGACCTGTCATTAAGCAAGTGTTTGACAAAGCACAACCATAAGCTTCAGAGGTTTCCTGGTCCCTGTCCTCACACCTGCCCTCATGGGCCAAGGTGATAGTATGGGTGTGAGGGCTCTTCCCCTTCCTGAATCTGCCCAGACTGCACACTCCCTAGGTGAGCGTTTCTGATGAGTCCTAGGCATTAGCAGGAGGACCAGGTGGCAGTTAGCAGGTTGAGTGGTCTCAGGTCTGTGCTTTCCCTCCTGCAGGCTCAAGAGGAGGGACCAGGCCACGTGTTCTCCTACTGCAGGGGTCACAGCCGTTGCTGCTGGCATCTTCCCTCACTGAAACTGAACATTGCTGGGGGACTTAGTCTCTCAGTGGCAGCAGCTCTCTCATCTCACTGTGTTGTTAAAATCCCCATTTTCAACCTCACTGCACACTTGCTGGACCAGAATTTCCCAGGCTGCGGCCCAGACCTAGGTGGTTGCGGTAGACAACTAGAGTTAACAAACAGCAGGACCCTTTGGGAAGACACTTGGGCCTGTTGCTTGCCATGAAGTGCCAAGTGTCCCAACTGCCTCTTGCATGTTCATTCGATGTGTTGTCCTCTGCCTGCTCCATGCCAGGCACACTGCACATCCTCCGACCTAGAACCTGTAGCACTGGCTCAGTTCCCCTTTCTCGGGAATTGTGTCCCCAAGGCTGCCTTGTGAACTACGGGCTGTGTGATGGGAATGGGGAGTGCAGAGATCTTTTGGGATTGATGTGGGGGCTGATTCAGAGCTTCACTGTCATTTGTGAGCAGAGCACCAAACAAGGAGGGGCCTCCCAGTTACGGAGGGGTTCATGGGCTGGACCACCAAGGATGAAGCCAAGCAAGTGAGAAAGCTGTCCTTCTAGCCCAGCAGGGGAGGCAGGGCTCAGCTGGGTGGTGTTCCAGGATTGCTGAAGAGAAGTCACCCAAAAGATGTGGTGGCGGCTGTTGTGCCGTGGATGAGAGGCCAGACTGGGGAATTGGGGGCAGCTTGTTACTCCAGGTATCTGAGGATGGAGAATGGGAGGGATGTGGGCAGGCACATACCTGAAGACAGCTTGGGCTGTAACACCTACTGGATGTTCACTCAAGTTGTTGGGAAAGCAGCGGGAAGTGTCAGGCTGGTGCACAGTTGAAAGACAACTTACAGACAGTTCTAGACTAAACACATCTAAGGCAGGGCCTTGAAGTAGTCTGGATGGTCATGCTTTTTGAATGAAGTGGATTTGTGTCTGTTGACTGTGTGATGATGATCCCTCATATATGGAAGGGGTTCTGCTGCTTCCAATGTGGTTTCCTCCTCGTTACCTACAGCTCTAGGTCTTACTATGCCTGCTTTGCAGCTGAGGAAGCCAAGGCTCAGGGAAGGTTTTCTGTCCCCCTCCCGCCCCAGTCTGGATAGTTGTTCTCTTCGCTGTGTTCCTTGTGCCCTGGTGGAGTCCTGAACTCGCACTTACAGAGTTGGGCAGAGAACTTTGTGGGTATGTGGGTTCTCCTGGTCCTGCTTTGTTCATCTTTATGTCCTCGCCGTGCGACACACAGTCAGTGTTTAATAAATCTGGGTCGGAAGAAGTCAGGTCTCCAGTGCCTTTCTTGTGACAGCCAAAAGAGGAGGTGGTGCTTTTGCAGGAGCACAGTTATTAAGTTGTTCACCCCGCTGAGTACCATGGGTTCACCAAGGTGGGGCTTGTCTTGTCTGGGACATGGGTTGAGGGGACTGCTGTGGCTCTGGGCCTCTTACCCAGACCAGGAATTGTCTAGTTCACACTCTGAAGTTTTACCATCAGTAGTGTCAGCATTTGGTTTAATTTGAGGGAGTCAGGAGGGATCTTAATATGTGGTGCTTTCCCCTATTGACACCCCTTTATGCTTTGTCAATCAACAGGAGCTTGAAGAAATCCGCAAATGTGGAATGAAAAACTTCCGTAACATCCAGGTTGATGAAGCTAATTTATTGACTTGGCAAGGGCTTATTGTTCCTGTGAGTATTGAACACTTCACTTCTTACCAGATTAATCTCAAGGTGACGCGTGTGCTGTTGGGCTTATCTCTCTATTCCCAAGGAGACTTTTAGTATAGGCAACCACCAGATGCACAGAGGCAGCTGTCACTCTAGGGTGATAAGGTAGGGACCATAACCTCAGTTTCCTGAGTAGAACCCCAACTTTGTGCTGGTTTTGTAACATTCTGGGGGGTCCTGAGCTTCCAGGGTCTGTTGTTACCCACCCGGGAAAGGAGTGGCATGTGTGTGCTCCTGGCTTCTCTTGGCCTGGCGTCATACGTGTGGATGGGGCCTCATGCCTCTGGACAGGGCTGCCTTCTCTGACCTCTCTAGGGAGATGGCAGGTGTTCCCATCTAGATCTTCTTTTTGCTGTCACACTGGGCTTGCCTCTGTGTCTCTAACCCTCTGGACACCTGTGTTCCGGGCTTTATTCCTGGTGCCCTTCAGTGTGTGCCTCCCATTTGTCTCAAATCCCTTTGCTTCATGGGCCGTCTATTCCCTTCACCCATTCTCTTTTCTGGAGCTTGTGCCTCCAGTGTCTGCCCCTCACGGCTCTACCTCTGCCTCCCTGTTTCACTGACTTCTGCCTTTAGACAGGCTCCAGCCTCGTCCTAAGGGCCACTTTCCTGTGACCTTACTGCCTTCTTGATTTGCTGTCTGCTCTTTCTCCATCCTTTTGTCTCCTCACCCCTCAAGAGACTTGTTCTGCACTAACTCCAGTTTGTGGTCCCAGTTTCTCCCACCCTCCTGAAACTGCTTCCCACCAAGCACAGAGGCTCCCCTAAGTCCTTACACCTGTGGCTCAGCAGCCCTGGGGCTGTGTGCCCCACTTACCTCCTGAACCCTTGGAGCCCCCTGTGTCCCAGCCTCTTGTTCTGTAACCAGTGTGCCATTTGCTCCTGTCCTCCTGCTTCCTCTTAACTTTTAGACATGGATCTAATTAAGTCTCTTACCTTTCTTCTCATTCTGTTTTGTTTCTTGGGATCCCTGCTTCTTCCAGCATCATTGGTTACTGGGAGTTTACTGTACGTGAAGAAATCCTGTCTCTGCCTCCATTCCTGCCTTCTCCCCAGAGTGATACCACCTGTCCACAAGGTGGCCTAACTTGACATTGTCTGCCTTCTAGTCTCCTGATTCATAACTGAGACCTTTTTCTGTGTGTTCCCTTTCCTTCTTGTTCTAAAGTCCATGGAACTTGAATGGCAAATACTGGGTTTATAGTTTATTTTCATAATTGTTTGGATAACTAAGGAAAGCTATACTTTGTAGTCTTCCAGTAAACATTCAAAAATTTTAAGTCTGGGAGAGTCCACTGTGGTTTTGAAGATGGAGCCCTTTAGCTTTCTTGAAGCTTGGAGGTGGTGGGGCTGAAGGCACAGGGTGTGGATAGTGGAGAAGCCCCTGATTGGGGAGGGTCAGCCCTTCCCAGGTGCCTGTCAGGTATTGAAGGGTGACCAGGACCATCTGACTACCTGGCCCTTTTCTTTTTCTTCTTAAAAAAAAATTTATTTATTTTAGAGAGAGAGAGAAAGGGTAGGAGAAAGGGAGGGAGAGAAACATCAATGTGAGAGGGAAACATCAATCATTTGCTTCTCACATGTGCCCTGATGGGACTAAACCCGAAACCCAGGCATGCGCCCTGATTGGGAATTGAACTGGCAACGTTTCACTTTGTGGGACATCACCCAACCAACTGAGCCATGCTGGGCAGGACCCACGTGTCTCTTTTCTTTCTTTAAAAAAAAAAAAATTTTTTTTATAGAAAGCCTGTTTTCCCTCTGTCCCTTTTGATTTAATTGTTGTATTTTTTTCTCATTACCATTCAGTCCCCTTATACCCGCCTCCCCGCAGCAATCACCACACTTGTCCATGTCCACGAGTCCTTTTTCCTCTGACCCTTTCCTAATTGAGATTTCATATCCTACTGATACAAGAAGTAAACAGGTAGTCTGGATCATTTGAAAACTATTAAGAATGAGTGGGACTGCATTAGGCAGTCAGGCTTGGCTGTGTGATGGGCTCAGTGGCCTGAAAGACCACAGGCTGCCTCCAAGAGTAGATGGTTGTCAGGCAGGCTCTAACCCGAGTGCACACCAAGGCCTCACTCTGGTGTCATTGGCAGAGACTGGTGTCATGTGGAACGGGCTGAGGCCCCAGGTGGTGACTGATTGGTAGAATCCCAGTGTGCTTGAACCAAGGCTCTGGGAAGTGTCCAGGCCCAAGCCTCACCTTCCATTTGGGGACACTGTGCCCAGGGACTGTAGGCGATGGCCAGGGCTGCCCTCAACCCTGCTCATGCTGCCTCTTCCCATTCCTCCCTCTCTTCTCCCTGTTACCTCTGCTCGGGGCCTCTGGGTTGGTGTGCGGAGAGTTTTAAGGATGCAGTTAGCCGCTGATCCCTCCAGGACCTCCACTAGTACCTCCCACCTGGGCCTCAGGCCTTCCTGCTCCATAATGGGTGGGTCAGTATGGGGAATCTTCTACCTAAACTCACCTGGGGCCTACCAGGCTGATAAAGGCATGACACCCTAGAGTGTACCTTACATCCTTGGGGGGCTGCTCAGTAAACACACCCTACCCAGCGTTCAGAGATAGGGCAGAACCAGACCCCCAGGGTAGGGAAGATGGGAGGTGAGGCTGGAGAGGCACTTTTTAGAGATACTTCATTTTGACTGTGGCAGTTTAGGTTTTAACCTTTAAACACATGTTTTTATATATAATTTTTTATTAGAAGTTCAGATGTGATGTTTCAGGGAGAAAATAATCCCATAATCCCTTCATGAAAAAAGTCACTCAAGCAGAAACTCTGTTCCCATTAAACATAACTTTCCATTCCCCTGCCCCCATTCCCTGGTAACCTCTAACCTTCTGTCTATGAATTTGCCTGTTGTAGATAGTTTATTAAAATTAGTCACATGCAAAGCATCGCAGGTTCGATTCCCAGTCAGGGCACATGCCTGGGTTGCAGGCCACGGCCCCCAGCAACTGCACATTGATGTTCCCCCCACCCCCCATCCTTTCCCTCTCTAAAAATAAATAAATAAAATCTAAAAAAAATTAGTCATATGCTATTTGTCTTTTTTTTATTTTAAGGTTTTATTTATTTTTTTATTTTTAGATAGAGGAGAAGGGAGAGAGAAAGAGAGGGAAAGAACATCAATGTGTGGTTGCCTCTCATGTGTCCCCCACTGGGGACCTGGCCTGCAACCCAGGCATGTGCCCTGACTGGGAATCAAACCAGCAACCCTTTGGTTCACAGCCTGTGCTCAATTCACCAAGTTACACCAGCCAGTGCTATTTATCCTTTTTTATCTGGCTTATTTCATTTATCATAATTTCTTCAAAGGTTATCAATATTGTGTCATGTATGGAACATTATTTTTATGGATGAATAAATTCCATTTTTTGTGTATAGCATATTTTGCTTATCCAGTCAATCTATTTGTGGAAATGAAGGGTGTTTCTACCTTTCGACCATTGTGAATAATGCTCTTCTGAACATTGACATGCAAGGATCTGCTTAAGTTCCTGTTTTCAATTCTTTGGGGTGTAGATACATGTAAGAGCAGAATTGCTGGATTTTCTGGTAATTCTGTGTTCAACTATGAGGAACCAGCAAACTGATTTTCACAGTAGCCGCACTATCTTACATTCCCACCAGCAGCATACAAGGGTTCCAAGTTTTCCACATCCTCACCAACGCTTATTTTCTCTTTAAAAAAAAAAAAAAAGTTGTAGCTATTCTAGTCCATGTGAACTGGATATATCCTGGTGCGCCCCCCCCCGCCCATGTTATTTATTTATTTATTTATTTATTTATTTATTTATTTATTTATTTATTTATTTTCCATTACCATTTGTCCCCCTTATATTCCCACCCCCATAATCACCACACTGTTGTCCATGAGTCCTTTTTCCTTTTTGCTCAACCCCTCCATCCTGCCCTGCCCCATCCTCAGAGCTGTCATCTGGTGGTTTTGATTTGCATTTTCCTATTGACTAAGGGTGTTGAACATCTTTTCATGTGTCTTTGGAGAAATGTCTACTCAAGTACCTTGCCCTTTTTATTTTCTTTAAAGACTCTGTGGATTTTTTTTTTTTTTTAAGGGTAGCTTTACACCTGGGCAGTGTGGCTCGATGGTTTGAGCGGTTTGTGTGCTGGCCTTCGAACCAAAGGATTGCTGGTTCAATCCCCAGTCAGGGTATATGCCTGGATTGCAGACCAGGTCCCTAGTAGGGATGTGTGAGAGGTAACCACACGTTGGTGTTTCTGTCCCTCACTTTCTCCCTCCCTTCCCCTCTCTCTAAAATTAAATAAGTAAAATTACAAAGGGAAAAAAGAGTAGTTTTAGGTTCACAGCTACTTGAACCTTCCTAAGAGGAAGGTACAGAGATTTCCACATATCCTCTGCCCGCATACATGCATAGTCTTTGTCAGCGTTCCTGGAGAGGGGCACATTTGTTATCATTGGATGTGCACTGATGCATCATAGTCACCTAAAGTCTATAGGTTGCATCAGGGCTCCCTCTTGGTGTGGTACATTCTATGGGTTTGAACAAATGTGTAATGACGTATATCCATTATTCTAGTATCATCCAGAGCACTTTCACGGCCTTGAAATTCTGTGTTCTACCTATTCATCCCTCCCTACCCCTCTCCCTCTCCAACTCCCATAGCCCTCTGGCCACTCAGATCTTTTTATGGTATTCATAGTTTTGCCAATTCCAAAATGTCATAGTTAACATTATACACCCTGAGGCATTTTTAAAAAACTACTTTTTAAAACAATTTATTTAATTCTTTTTAGAAGGGAAGAAGGGAGAAAGAGAAACATCAGTGTGTGGTTGCCTCTCATGTGCCCCCTGCTGGGAACCTGGCCTGCAACCCAGGCATGTTCCCTGACTGGGAATTGAATTGGTGACCCTTTGGTTCCGGGGCCAGCACTCAGTCCACTGAGCCACACCAGCCAGGGCTTCT